ATCTAAAGACGGATAAGTCAGACGTAGATGCGGAAGAAGACGAAGACGTCAAGGAGAAGAAAACTCAAGAAGAGATTTCCAGGAAAGAACGAGATGAGAAAGCAATGAACTTGATCTTTATGAGTGTAGGAGATCACGTTTTGCGGAAACTAGATAAGTGTACTTCCGCAGCAGAAGCGTGGGAGCTTCTTGATAAGCTCTACATGGCCAAGACCTTACCAAACAGAGTACACGCTCAGCTCAAGGTTTACTCCTTCCGAATGCAAGAATCAAGAACCATTGACCAGAATGTGGATGACTTCTTGAAGCTCATAACCGACCTCAACAATCTCAACATAGACATTCCAGAGGAGGTACAAGCCATTCTACTACTCAATGCTTTGCCAAACAGGTATGATTCTCTTAAGGAAACTCTTAAGTACAGTAGGGAAGCTATTAGAGTAGATGAGATAGCAAGTGCGGCTAAGTCTAAGGAGATGGAATATAAGGATGCCCCTAGCTCTAGGACTACGGGTGAAGGGAACTTTGTTCGGGGTAGATCAGAGGGTAGAAACTCTAACTCTTATGCAGGTAAAGGAAAGGACAGAGCACGGTCTAAGTCGAGAGAAAGTAAGCGTGTCTGTTGGATTTGTGGAAAGGAGGGTCACTTCAAGAAACAGTGTTACAAGTGGCTTGATAGAAATAAAGGTCAGAAGCAAGGAGGATCAGATAGAGGAGAGTCTTCACTTGCTAAAGATGATGCAAAGGATCTTGTTGGGCTATTGGTGGCTGAGGCAAATTCAACTGAATCAGATAAAGAAGAGTGGGTCATGGACACTGGCTGCACGTTTCATATGACACCAAGAGCGGATCTGTTTATTGACATGAAGCCTGCATCAGGAGGAAGAGTTCGTATGGCTAATGACACCATCACAGAGGTTCAGGGTATTGGCTCCATCAGGTTTGAGAATCCAGACAAGACAACCTTTGTGTTACACGATGTGAGATACTTACCGGGTATTGCAAGAAACTTAATCTCAATGGGTAGTCTGGAAGAGAAGGGCTGTGAGTTTAAAGGGGCAAATGGAGTTTTGAAAGTTATCAAAGGGTGTACTGTTTTCATGAAAGGACAGAGGAGACAGTCGTTGTATATTCTACAAGCACAGGCAAGGAAAACAGGCTTCACAATCGGAGACTCAAGTAATGTTTCAGGGAAAGAAAAACAAGCTTCAGACATACAACTCTGGCATAGTCGTATGGGTCATCTGGGACAGAAGGGCATGCATATACTGCTTAAGAAGGGTTACTTAGGAGAGTTGAGGAAGACAGAGATGGAATTCTGCGAAGACTGTGTGATAGGAAAGACTCATAAGGTGAGTTTTGGTCCGGCTCAGCATACTACTAAGGAGAAGTTGGACTATATACATTCAGATCTGTGGGGTTCGCCTAATGTTCCACCAAGCTTGAGCAAATCACAGTATTTTCTCACATTCACTGATGATTACTCAAGAAAGGTTTGGATCTATTTCCTCAGACGCAAAGATGAAGCCTTTGATTGTTTTGTTTCTTGGAAGAAGATGGTAGAGACGCAAAGTGAAAGAAAAATTAAGAAGCTACGTACAGACAATGGCCTGGAGTTCTGTAACATACAGTTTAATACATTTTGTAAAGAAGAAGGTATGGTGAGACATAGGACTTGTACCTACACGCCTCAGCAAAATGGAATAGCAGAGAGGCTGAACAGAACAATCATGAATAAGGTTCGCAGCATGCTTAGTGAGAGTGGCTTCGAAGTGAAGTTTTGGGCAGAGGCTGCTGCAACAGCAGTGTATCTTATTAATAGATCACCTTCTTCTGCTATTGACTTTGATATACCAGAGGAGAGGTGGACATCTGCAACTCCGAGTTACAAGGAATTGAGAAAGTTTGGTTGTTTAGCTTTCATTCATACGAGTGATGGCAAGTTGAATCCTAGAGCAAAAAGAGGTTACTTCACTGGATATCCCGAGGGAGTTAAAGGCTTCAAGTTCTGGATTCCAAGTGAGATGAAAGTTATTATCTCTAGGGATGTTGTTTTTAGAGAAGAAGTCTTGTATAAAGAAGATAAACTTGATCCTGCAGCTCAAGCTAATGTGGAAAAGAGAACTCCGAATTTGATAAGTCTGGAGCTGAGTGGTTCAGAACATGAAGAAACTACGTATGATTCTGAAGGTGGAGCTCCAGAGAAAGGGACTTTAGTAAATGAGGAAGCTACAGAGGTTGATGAGAGTAATTTGGATGGTTACCAGTTGGCGAGAGACAGGTCTAGAAGGCAGATAAAGTTACCAAGCAGACTTGAAGACTATGAGTGTGATGCTGCTGATGGTGAGGACATATATGCGTGTTACATATGTGATTTGTCTGAAGATGCAAGCTCAGAACCTGCTTCCTGGAGAGAAGCGATGGAAGATTCAGATAGTGATCTTTGGAAAGGTGCTGCAGAGGACGAGATGAATTCTTTAAAAAGGAATGGGACATGGATTCTAGTTGATAAGCCAAAGGATCAGAAAACAATTGGTTGTAAGTGGGTGTTTAAGAGGAAACCAGGTATTGTAGGAGTTGAGCCTCCGAGGTATAAGGGGAGACTTGTTGCTAAGGGATATTCTCAGAAAGAAGGAGTAGATTTCCAAGAGATCTTTGCTCCAGTTGTGAAGCATGTATCGATTAGGTACATTCTATCTGCTGTTGTTCATTTCAACATGGAGCTACAGCAAATGGACGTAAAGACAGCATTTCTACATGGTTTATTGGATGAGACCATATACATGGACCAACCAGAAGGATTTGTTGATAAGAAATTTCCTCAGAAAGTGTGCTTACTAAAGAGATCTTTGTACGGATTAAAGCAATCTCCTCGGCAATGGAATAGGAGGTTTGATGATTTTGTGAGAGCTCAGGGTTATCTTAGAAGCGAGTATGATCAGTGTGTTTATTTCAAGAAGAATAGCAAGGAAGTGTATGTGTACATGTTGCTATATGTGGACGACATTTTGATTGCCTCAACAGATAAAGTTCAAGTGGATCAGTTGAAGAAAGTTTTAAATTCTGAGTTTGACATGAAAGATTTGGGAGATGCCAAGAAGATACTCGGGATGGAAATACACAGAAACAGAGAGACAGATGAGTTATGGGTGTCTCAGGAAGGTTATTTGTGGAAGGTTCTGTCGAATTTTGATATGGATCAAGCTAAGCAAGTTACAACACCTATTGGAGCTCATTTTAAACTCAGGTCTGGGACTGAGAAAGAATTAGAAGAGCAAGCAGCGTATATGAGTAAGATTCCATATCAAAGCGCTGTTGGCAGTATTATGTATGCTATGGTGGGAACTAGATTGGATCTTGCACATGCCGTAGGTTTAATTAGTAGATTCATGTCAAAACCGTTGAAAGAACACTGGCAAGCAGTAAAGTGGGTTCTCAGATACATAAAAGGAACGGTTGATACAAGGTTGTGTTACAAGAAAAAGGGGGAGTTCGTTGTTAAAGGGTATACTGATTCTGACTACAATGGAGACTTAGATCAAAGGAGGTCTACGTCAGGTATGGTCTTTACTGCGGGAGGTAATCCGATCAGTTGGAGATCATCACTTCAGAAGGTGGTAGCATTGTCAACCACAGAAGCAGAGTACATTGCTTTGTCTGATGCAGTTAAAGAAGGTGTATGGTTGAAGAGGTTTGCAGAAGAACTCGGGTTTCCTCAAGATTCTGTTGAGATTTTCTGTGACTCTCAAAGTGCTATAGCATTGTCAAAGAATGCTGTGTATCACGAGAAGACGAAGCATGTTGCAACTAAGTATCATTTTATACGTGACCTTATTGCTGCTGGAGAAGTACAGGTTTTGAAGATAGCAACAGACTATAATCCTGCTGATATCTTTACAAAGGTTCTACCAGTGTTCAAGTTCCGAGAAGCATTGAAGATGCTTCGAGTGTCCAAGAACTAATTGAGTTTTGGAGAAGTGCTTGTGACCGGTTAAGGTTGCAAGGGTCCGGTAAAGGACATGTATGCTTTGGCATGTTTGGTAAAGAGTAATGCAGTGACTTCATCAAAGGCTTCATCAGGTATGTATGAAGGTATCTTGTCTAAGGTGGAGATTTGAAGGTTATAGACAAGATAGGAAGACTCTATTTGGCTCAGAAGGTTTAAGTGATTGGTTAGATAGGATTGTAATTAGTCCGGTTAAGTCTGTAAGTCCAATTGAACCAATCTCTCTCGTTAGTAAACCGGATGTGTGTGTGTACACGTGTGTAGAGTGTGATAGCTCGGTATATAAGAGCTAATACGCTTTAGGATTANAGAGAGATAGGTGATCGAGTCTGTAACGGAGCTCGCTTGTGAGTTGAATAGTGTTGCTGGTTCGATCCCAGCTCCAGAGAGATATAGCGGCTACACCGAGTTACCGGTGTAGTGCGGTGAACTCTGGGTCAACATATCGTGTTGTTGATACAAGAGGAAGAAGACGATTGGTGAAGATCAAGGCTTGTGATCTTAACAATCGATCTTTGGGATCTTTCATCAAGTCTTTCCTAGCCGACAAAAAACAGAAGCACAAAGACCGACGAGTCAGTGTTGACGCTTAGTCGGATGTTGGGTTGATTTTGATCCATGTAAAGTCAATCAACACGGAGAAGGGAGTCATCTACGTGGCTAACCCTGTTTCACGGGAATGTGTAGAAATATTAATTCTTGATCCTCTTTTTCCTATAGGGTTTGAAACGAACGAACATTGCTGGCAATGGGGACTTGTCACACGAGCCGAGAACGGCCACCTTTTGGGTTACAAGGTTGTCATCTTTGACAAGTACAAGTGGGGCCATGAGATGTTAAGTTATCTTATATATTCATCTGAGACAGGTTTGTGGAGTCTCGAAACTTTACATATTCCTCACTCTTTCAAGTATCTTTATTTTGGACATTTGATTAGCTTGAACGGTAATCTTCACTGGCTCGGCCAGAACAATGACAATCATGAAGTTGTACCATGGATTTTTACGCTACTAGCCCAGGTGGTTCTGTTCCATGCCGTGTTACACCTTTCCCTGACTTGGACAAAACTAGCAAATTCAAAAGAGCTTGCACACCTTGTCAAGGGTTTCTCATGTATATGAACATCGTTTCCATAACCAAAGTGGATGGAAGCATAGACAATAAGTTGTGTGAATGGAGCCTAAAGAGCGAGGGATGGCAACTAATGTCTGAAATCTCCGCAGATATTATCTTGACCGGTGGATTCGACTTTTTACCAGTGACGATAAACACCTTTGATGCTAAGACAGCCTACTTTTGGAGCAAGAAAGGACAACGCTTGGTATCTATCAACTTACACAACGGTGAGTTTATGATCCACAACAATCAGTTGGATGGTAGAAGCGACGGTCCCATTATGATTCCTGTTAAGGACCCTAGAGCTATTATTTCTCTCAAAAGTAGGAACAATATGGAATACATCAACGGAATACCATACCATCTTCTCCTGTTCCTTCTCCCACAATGGCTGTATCGGATCCCGGTGAGTATTAAACATCCAACAACAACAACTGCGAAAACAAAGACAGTTGGAGACAAAGGCAAGGTCATAGTCGTTTACGAACCGGAGGAATCAGACGACCAATCTCCACAAAATCCCAACGCGAATACGCAACATGAGTCAAAGGATATTCCCTTCAGATACATAGCAGGTACTGATGGAGCGTCAGCAATTGAGCTGTCAAATCCATTTGTAGCCCTTGGTTACACGAGTGATTCATGATTTATTTATAAATGTTGCATGATTTTATCTAGAGAGTCTAATATAAAATGTCATTATATAATATAACTTAAAAAAATCAATGCAAATTTAAATTTATTGTTATCATCAATATCTATGTAAATGTATTGTATGTAATTGTGTAGTTTTATTTTAGAAAAATAATATAAATTAACTACGCTTGGTTCTGGGAAATGGGTCAAATTCGTCCCACCCGACCCGCTTGACCCGCAAAGAAAATATATTTTATCCGCATCTGTCCCACTTAATTTTGCTAGTAATATGCAAGATCCGCGAATAATTAGTAAATAATAAAAAAATTATTTTAAATTTTTTCTAAAAAATAATATTAAATAGTACATTTTCAATTAAATTTTCAATACTTAAAAATATAATTATTTTTAACGAAATTTAGTATATTTTTGAAAAATAAACTTAAAAAAAAAATTCTATTTTTGCGGATTATCGGGTACCCGCAATTGAAATTAAAACAACCCGCATCCATTCAGTGTAAAATACACTTGACCCGCACCCGCATCCGCAACTTAAATTTTTCAAATCGATCGACTTGTTCCGTGGAAGGTCAACCCGCAGACTAATATCAAGATTCTCAGCTCTAACTAAGCTAATTAAGGCTGATATGTTTATTTTTGAAAGAAACTTTATAAATAGGGAAAATTGCCAAATATGACTCAAAACTTGATTTAAAATGCAAAAGTAAACCCAAACTTGAATCAAATGCAAAAGTAACTTAAAAGGCTGTTGAAATTACAACCAACCCCTTGTGAACAAACAAAAAAAAAGTTTTTCTTTTACGTTTCTAGCCCTCGCAAGTCGTCTTGGACAGTTTTTCTTAAAAATAATTTAAAAATTGTGTAATAAATATTTTGATAAATGAAAAATTGGAATTATGTAATTAACATATGTCTTAAGAGATATAAATTAATATATAACAAAAGTCAGTTGTTTTCAGCAAAGATGAGTGAAAAGTAGTGAGTCATGATATTCTTTAGTTTAGGTTTCACCAACATATGTTGTAGTATTGTATGTGTTTCTTAGGGTTAGATTTTCGAAAGCATAAATGTTTTTTTGAAAAATTAAAAATTTACCTAAGTGTGTTTATTTCTATGTATAGTAAACAATATTTAAGTATAATTTGATTTTATAACGTGGTTAGTTAGTTAATTTAGTCAATTTAGTTTAGGGTTTAGGGTTTAGGGTCTGGATGACTTATATTTAAGTCGTCTGGTAAATATATTTAATAATGCAGACGACTTAGTCGTCTTATAGTATCAACAGACGACTTAGTTATAAGTCGTCCAAACCGGATTTTACCAAATTACTTTTAAACCTAACCGTACTTTTGACCGGACATATATAAGATGTTTTTTTTTACTCATTTTTCGCGAAATTCAGAAAACTCTAACGCCGTTTCTCTCAAAGGTGATTTCGAGGCGATTTCGATCCTATACAAGACCAAGGTAAATCGAAGGCTTCTCTTGCGGATTTATGGGTTTTTATTAGGATGGATGTTCTTTTCCTTTACTTTTACCGTTTTGTTTTGTGTTTTCAACGATTTCTGGAAATTTTGGTTTCAAATTAGGGTTTCAAAAATTGGGGATTTCAAACGATTTGTTGTTTAGTTAGGTTGGATGTTGTTTTCCTCTCATTTCACAGTTACGATTTGTGATTTCAAGCAATTTGTGGATATTTTCATTCTCAAATTAGGGTTTCAAAGATTGGGGATTTCAATCGATTTGTGGTCTAGTTAGGTTGGATGTTGTTCTCGTCTCATTCGTCTGGTCAGCTTTCAAATGTTCTACTGGAAGTCTTGGTAAAGTCGTCTGGAAAGTCTTCCAGGTGGACGACCCAGAC